GGGAGGTGAGAACACGTACCATATCACCAATAGATCTTCACATGGTTCGTTTTCTGACATCTGGCAGGTCTTTCCACCTCAGTCTCCTGATTTATTTCTTCATGAATACGTCCTTGCGGGATGGGGCATGCCCATTGGTGGGTCTCAAGCTTCCATGTACACTCTCCAATACCGCTACTGACTCCCTACAGGCGAGCTCTTCGACCTGGAGACTTTAGCACGTACATGCGAGGACCTCAAGCGTTGGACCTTCTTCGTCACATCTGTGCCTTTGAATATGCCCGGTGGAGTGTCGTCCCCACCAAACGCAATGGCCATATTCTGAGGCATGTTTTGACTGCAAAGCTACTATTGTTGTAATCTACCACTTGTGCCCTGCAATGTGAAGGCCCAGTCGGGGCGCTTGCGTTGTAGTCTTAGAAGCAGGAGCCTTAGTCCCTGGCATACGGTCACCTCTTCTATTTTAAGAAAAATTTGATCCCTGATATGAGCCTGTTCATCTCGCTGAAGAGCTGCCTCAAGGATTGATTCGCTATGTTGGTATGTCTACCCAGATGTCCATCTACCCTCACAAGGTTCCGCTTAGCCGGATGGCGGCAGAATGTACGTATATTTTGTATAAGCATAACGTGAGAATATGCGGTGAAAATTGCTTATGGTAAAGGTGTTTGCCAGGAGGGTGCTTGAAGAAGCCTCGCTGCGTCAGTCCAAGGTTGCTCAGAGAGATATTTGGACATCTGTTGATCATTCGAGCTGGAAGTATAGGTCCACGAAGGGCGCTTTGTGGGAGGGAGTCACCCGCCGGTCAGGCCCTCGCTACCTGCCATGAGTCCAAGTTCAACTGTGTAATACTGTCATAGGCTTATTCGCGATTACTGCACATAGACCATTCATGAGGGCTCTGGGTTGCTGACCCCCCACACCGCCCCTCAGCTCCTCTTTCTCCTATCAACACGTTAGCAGGATAGAGAAAAAGGGGAAAGCAACACCTGAGCAGCGATTGGAGCTGTGCATCAACCTAAGAACAGACCCCAACCCCACAAGTGACCGGGGACTACGTATAGGGATGAACCCGGGCTTGCCGAGAGGGCCGCCGACAGCAATACGAACTATTGATAGGGTGGTCTTCGCTTCAGAATTCCGAGCCGGACACCGCGTGATTATTGCACACAAGGAAACGAAGCATTATACGATCGAAGAGATCCGCCCGATCGTGGTTTACGGGCGATTCAGAGCTGGATTTAGCTTGGCGTCTCTTGCCTCTCGCCTCAGTACGTATTGACTAGGACTGCAGGTGGCACTGTGGGGATGCATTGCAGGGATAGAGCGTGGCGAACCAACTGCTTGTGGTATGAATTAGTCTCAGTGTTGCCCATTCGCTGGTGATCATCGATCGTCGGTATGAATTACGAGATCTGTCGGATTGGTCTTTGGAGAAGGGCCTCGCGCTGATAAGTGGGTATGGGATACAGTGTGGTGTGCCTGGCGAGGGCTTAGAGTCTGCACACACTGTATCCGGGACTTCCGGAGAATAGGCCCTAGGAGCAGTAGTTCAGACTGAGTGTAACTAGAATCGACTAGATGACCAATGGTATCCTGCTCTTTCGAATAGTCCCTTTCGTAGACACTAACAATAATGGTGTCACGGACTCACGAGGAATTTTCTAGTCCCATGTTGTCTGAGATGGTCCAAGGAATCGGGCCAGGTTTACTTCGGTTCAGCCAACGACAAGCGGTGGGTGGGCGCCCCGCTCTTTCAATAGGCACTTTTAGCCCGAGCCCTAGACTAAAGCTGTCGGCAAATTGATCGCCGGTAAATGTCAATTGAACTCTGACTGTTCAGGGTGTGTTTAGACTTTGCACCTAACGTTTTGCTTGCGAGTTGGTCGGATAACCCTACGGAAGACTGATCTTGAATAGAACTATGTGTGCAATTTCCAAGGTGAAATTATACGAGATACATATGAATGAAGCTCCGAGAGCCTCGGACCCTGCAGAGATCAGCAATCTCAAGTCCCAGACCCAAGGGAAGGGGTTTTGTCCCTGAACCAAACCTGAAGCTAGTCTCAAAGAAGCTTAACCTGACCCGGTTCTTCAGGTTTCTTCAGCTCGGGATATCCGAGCAAGCCGATTTCAACGTCATAACCAGCCCTGATTCCCTCGCGATACATCGGATACTGTTACCTGATAATCCCCTTTCTGACCTTGGAAGCGGATCCTACCAGCAATGGTGCCTGCCAAGAGGTCGAGACCTGGACCGTACAGGGGTTTCCCACGTGGTGGTCTGCAGGGCAAAATGACCACGGGAAATGCTTGCACCATGCAGACCCCTACTGCACCACTTTTGCCAGAAGGTGCCCGGCAAATATAAAAGCAGTTCTGTTCCCATCTCTTGGGAGAACCAAGCTTCGCGTACATTCGTTTAGACCCTCGCTCCGGCCGAACAGGGCCCATTACTGTCACTCTTTCTCATTTTTCTTTTAACTGTCGTTCTTTATATACAGTCATTCATTCAAATAGAACAGTATGCGTTTCGCCCCTCTTGCAGCGACCGTCGCGTCCCTGGGCGTGGCCAGTGCTGCGGCCATCAAGCCCAAAGACACTGCGCTGCGGGCTCGCGATACCTGCTCGGATGTGGAGTTCACCGGCGAGGTCTTGCACCTCTCCTTGAACATCATCGAGTACCCTGTTGTGGTTGATGTCCAGCTCGAGGAGGATGCCATCATCACCGTTGACAACACTATTCTCATCGAGGCTACGAATGCGCCTACCCACCTGCACACCACGGTGATGGCAACTTCTACTTCTACTGTCACCAAGACAATTTCCACGGCTACCATCACTGCTGGTGGTGGTGAGGCTACTGCTGGTTCTGGCTCTGGTGCTGCTGGAGTTGTTGTCGGTGCTGGTTCTGGCTCTTCCAGCTCTGGATCTGGCTCTTCTAGCTCGTCCGGATCTTCCAGTTCGGGCTCCTCTGGAGTTGTCGTTGGCTCTGGATCCTCCAGCTCCGGTTCCGGCTCTTCTGGTTCTTCTTCTGGCTCTGGATCGTCCGGGGTTGTCTCTGGTTCTGGCTCCTCTGGCTCCTCTGGCTCCTCTGGCTCTGGCTCCGGCTCATCCAACAATGGATTCCCCGCCGTCGTGACCAACATCAACCCTAAGACCACCAACACCCGCCTCATGTAAGTCCACACACTCCTCTACATCAACACTGCTAATTCCCTCCAGCCACCCTCAAGTGACCGGCTCCAAGAGCCTTCCCCCCGTCGCCGGCGGTTCTGCCGTTGGCTCGGGCGTCAACACCGCGCTCTACACAGCGTCGACCTCCAACACTCTGGTTGGCACGAAGACGACGACCATCCGCGGCGTCTCCACCACCGCGACCCGCACCTACACCACCACGCTGGCCTCGACCACCGCGACGCAAGCCGCGGGCGAGTTCACCGACTGGACGAAGTTCAAGGCCAACGGCGTGAACCTGGGCGGCTGGCTGGAGCAGGAACAGGTCTTCGACCAGGTGTGGTGGGACTCGTACGCCCCCAACGCGACCGACGAGTGGACTTTCTGCAAGACCCTGGGCTCGCAGTGCGGGCCTGTCCTCGAGGAGCGCTATGCCACCTACATCACCACCGACGACATTGACCGCGTCGCCGCAGTCGGTACGTTTCCTTTCCCTTCACTGTATCTCACTACCACATCCCACTCCATACTAACCCACCGGCAAAGGCGTCAACACCCTCCGCATCCCCACCACCTACGCCGCCTGGATCCAGGTCCCGGGCTCGCAGCTCTACCACGGCAACCAACAGACCTACCTCCGCAACATCGCCACCTACGCGATCGAGAAATACAACATGCGGGTGATCATCGGGCTGCACTCGCTCCCGGGGGGCGTGAACAGCCTGGACATCGGCGAAGCCGCCGGGCACGACGGGTGGTTCTACAACGCGACGAACCTGCAGTACAGCTACAGCGCGGTCTCGGCGGTGCTGGACTTCATCGCGAGCACGGGCAGCCACGCGTGGGCGTTCACGCTGTCCCCGCTCAACGAGGCCTCCGACAACCCGGCGGGCTTCGCCAGCCCCACGACGCTGACGGACAACGGCACCGCGTGGATCGTGCAGTACACGAAGGGGGTGCTCGAGCGGATCGCGCGCAGCGCCGTCCCCGCCGTCCCCGTCATGCTGCAGGACTGCTTCCTGGGCGAGGAGCACTGGTCCGCCCACTTCGACGCCTCCGCCAACCTGGTCTTCGACACCCACGTCTACTACTTCGCCGCCTCCGGCGTCTACTCCCAGTGGGCGCAGGGCGCCATCTGCGGCCAGGCCAGCGTGCTCGGCGGTGACGGCAAGTTCCCCGTTTTCGTCGGCGAGTGGGCCCTCCAGACCCTCTACAGCAACTCCTACGCCAACCGCCGCACCCTGTTCGACACCCAGCGCTACGCCTGGTCGTACTATGTCCAGGGCGGCAGCTTCTGGAATATCAAGCACAAGTCCACCGCCAAGGTCGATGGCCAGGGCACCCAACAGGATTACTGGAGCTATGAGCTGCTGTTGGATGAGGGCGTCATCGGGCCGATCAAGAGCAATGCTACTTATTGCTAGATGGTTGGAGATTGTGGGGGGGGAGTGGGGGTGGTTGATCAGAGGATTGAAGGGGGAGGATATATTAATATACTAGATTAATGAGACCAATAGAACTATGACTTGGCTAGCAAAGAGCAGAGAACTACTAGATACTTAGGTATTTTCCACAAACAAAACTACCAATTCGCATTATCATACAGTGAATCCACTCCGATAATATGATGACCGATATCAGGAATCAGATACAAAGTCAAGTAGTAAAGTCACAGACTTTTCTTACATGTTAAAACCTCTCGAGCATCGCATCATACATCGTAGACCCCGTTATCAGTTGTCGCAGCACTGAAGAATAAAACATTACGATTGCGGACCAGCCTACAACACCGCCGCACAGCCGCACTTCCTCTGCGAAACCGTTCAATAAGGAAACTCGTTGCAGACAATCTGTTTGTTTTTCTGTTGCGCCATTCAAGAATTAGCGCAACTGGCCCGTTTCCACTGCCACTACCTCGTCTCGAGTAGGGGGAAAGAGAAGAGACTTACATCGAGAGGGAAGTTACTCTTGCACTTGTACTTGCCAGTGGGGCAATAGTTAGTTTGCACGCAGTCAATCCCCACCCCGGCAACCTTGATCCAGAGAATGACCCAGTCCTTAGTATCGATCTTGTTTTTGCAGCAGTAGTCCTTGTAGTAACCGAAATGCCGTTCTTCGAGGTCCCGCTCCTCGAAGTCTTCGACGTCTGGGTTGGGGGTTAAGGAGGTGAACCCCATGCTGGCGAGGGCGAGCACGCCGAAGATGGTCTTGAGCTGCATGTTGTCCTATAGTAGAGCGATGAAAGTTGGTTTGTCGAATGTAGGTGAGTTGCGGTTTTATCTTGGACCGATTCTTCAAGCTTGATGAGCAGCAAACGCTCTGAGAGATTCAGGCCCTTCTTATACACAGTTGTACACAACCAATAACCAAAGAGGAAGTCCATCACCATCTATCACGCTCCTCTCAATACGAACTGATATCCAGCCCCAGCCCATGGGAACCAAACCCCAAGAGAGCAAAAAAAAAAAAAAAAAACTTGCAAGTCATCTGCTCACCCTGCACCCATGGCCCAACTCTTCTTCTTCTTCTTCTTCTTCTTCTTCTTCTTCTTCTTCTTCTTCTTCTTCTTCTTCTTCTTCTTCTTCTATTACTAGCTCCTATTGATTACATACAGGGACCACCCACAGCTGCAGATCCACACGAATACCATCGTGGGCGGACAGGGTGCCGAAATCGTGGTAGAGGGAACTCAAATACGAGCCCCGTCGATCCATCGGGTCCTCCACCCGAGGGATCGGGCTGGCGAGCGCGTCGCCGTCATTCAAGATGTGAACCACGGTTTGGATTACGAACGGTCGTCTTTGGACCTGGTCATACTGCAGATGGTTTGTTTGTTTGGCTACTCTAGATCAGGGGTTGTGCAGCTTCAACCGAACTATGGGTTTGCGAGGCGTTCGAGTGGAGAAGGTTTAATGGCTGCGGTGGGGTGGTGGGTGTTGCTGCGGCGGATATCACTCCCGCATCACCGTTCTTCTGGGTGCGTATCGTATGTTCAGTTTGGGATTGGAGAGGGGCTGGGTGGTGATGGTTATAGACTTTTCTCTCTCTGTCTGTGTGGTTTCTTGTGGGGTGTTGTGTATTCGCTAAGCTGTTGTCGGGTGGCGTATGAGGATTACGTTGTGCAGTATCAGCTTGGTACTTGCAGTACTGTACTTGCAACTCGATTCCAGAAGAATAGTCCGATGGTCAGACTGGACTTACTACTCCCAGCCAACAATTAATGCCGTACCAAGCCCAATGCGAGGGATTTGTGCTGAGCATCATACCTCGCCCCAACCACGAGGTTCATCCGGATCAAAGAAACAGCAACCATAGAGCCAACCCCTGTCCAAGGTTTAGTCCCATATCCCCCCCCCCCCCCGCTCAGCCTACGGCAGATGAATCCAACGACTGGGCGGATCGGAGTTCCACTGATAGGTTCGAGATACGACCCCATCTGGCAGCAGCCCTATCTCCGCGCTCCTCCATGCTCCTCGAGCGAACCGTTGCTTCACGGGCCACGAGGACGAGGTCCACTCGTCAGAGCAAACTCAACCGTTGGCCATGAATGTGCTTAGCTTTTTGGTCGATGCTGAATTCATGGTTGGAATTGGCTTCTTCGGGGTTGTGAATGTGGATGAAGGGTTCTATTTGCTGGTGGCGGCAGAGTATGGGCTGGGCATGCATGGCACGCTACTTGATCCGGAATGTTTGGCATGGGGTTCGACGGGGTGGGTGGCCGGGAGATCACCGTGCAGAAGAGATGCTGGTGCCTGAGGTGGCTTTCCACGCGCACAAGCTGTGGGGTACTCTGTGCGAGCTCACCCGGGTCTTGAGTGGATATTGAATGCTGCAGGGTCAAAGGTGGGAAGGATTGAGTGAAGATTATGAGGAAGACTTGCTTGGACGAGATGCTATGCGTATCTCTTCTTGCGAGACATTCTTGTAGTACTCATGATAGTGGCATTCTTGCTACCTGACGCCAGGTCTATCGCACAACCCATACCAAACATGTAGACTCCTGCTACCCTATTACCGCACTGAAAACCCCCAGAGTGAGAGCACGATGGAGGCCAACGTGGCGCTGGCCCCACATCTCCCTCAGGTATCGCTCCGCACAGCGGTTGAACTCCCGTCCTCGGGCATCGATCAGGGCCGGTTTCACGCTCCAACTGCGGACGCGCCGCTTGCAGTCACAGTCCTGGCAGCCGAGGTCGGGGACGTTCTTCCACGCCTTCCAGTAATTATCCAGCGGGTCGGAGAAATGGCACTTCCTGACGGCTCCGCAATCCGCACCTTTCACGTCCAGCTCACAGCATTCGTTCTGCGGGTCCAGGAACAACTTCGCCAGGGACCGCGGAGGTTGCTTCAGGATGAACCACGAGATGACGCTGTATTCGTTCCGTGCGTCCCGGTGCCAGTCCTTCGGGCCGTGGCGGAGGAGCATGCGTTCCATCAGCTCCCGCAACATCCGCAGCGCCGCGTGGAAGTCGATCTCGGTCTGCTCGTCGAGCCAGCCGCGGAATTCGAGTCGGCGTCTGCCCACGTCGGCTTCCACATAGCCCCATTTCAACACGGTGTACACATGGTTGGTGTATTCTTCGAAGGTCATCATCTTTCGTCTCTGCGGCGGAAGCTCGTCGTACTCGTCCAGCATCTTGCCCAGAACAAACAGCCGCCCGCTGACCACTGGCGCCAGGGGTTTCTTCGGCGGCATGAGCCTCTCCGTATCCCGCGCAATATCGGCCATGTGAAACAGAACGTGTAAGCCTCGTTCCAGCCGTTGCGCCAGCCGTAATTCTGCCTCGAAATTCATCTCCGTGTTGTCTTCCTCGCAGAAGGGGCCCCATACGGAGGGTACAAGATGTCGCGATAAGTCTCGGGCGATGTTATGTCGATGGAGAAACCGGACCAAAGTGTGAATCGTCAGCGGGGTCTGCTCCCCAGTCCACGGGCTCATGGTGAGGATGGGATCGAAGGCATCAATTCTGTGGCATCGCAGAAACCAGGTACAGATATGCGGCTCGAGGATCTTGATGGTCTCATAGGTGGCCTTATTCAGCCGACAGAGGCTCAGTATCGTGTTCACCTCGCCGCTGATGATGATGTGAAAGAGGACATCGGCTACAAAGCCGAAGGGAAGAGGTGCTCCCCGCCGCAGAGATGGGGATAACATCTGTTTGACGAGGCGAATCAGCGTGGGGGATCTCCCTCGCACCTGCGGAGTGGGTGCTTGGCTGCGTATGGTCTTTCGGCGGAAGATCATCCCGACTTACCGTAGCAACTGCTTGCTGCTAACCTGGACCATCCAAGCCTTTCCGAATCTAGGCGAGAGGGAGTGACATTGGGTTCTTTATAAAAGACTACGCAGGGCCGTCGTGGGGGGGAAAGAGGCTGTTTGCCCAGGCTGTAAGGGGGGTTAATTGCCGTTTGGCGGATAACAAAGCGTCGACGGTGTGACGCGTTGGCAGATTCTCAGTTGTGTGCTTGGCTGCAGCGATGCATCCGGAAAAGGCTGAGTAGGCAGGGTGCAGGATGCAATCGCCGAACGACCGTAAGCTGACTGGTCAACTTGGAAACTTATATAATACGTGGTCCCATGTCCGGTGCGGTCATCACAGCAGCGATAGCGAGGACCAGAAGTAACGATCGACCACGTTTCAGGCGAACAAGGAGAAGGGGCTGCCAGCACGGTCTATCGGTCGTCATGTTGGTATTGCCTGTCGACTCTAAGACACACGTAGCATAATAGTCCGTTCCCAACGAGTGCCTGTTCTGATGTAATAGCATGACACGCCTGGGGAAATAATCGAGCCCGTCTGATCATGGGATCGGCGGTGTCGCTGATAGTGGCTTCAATAGCGCCAGGGGAACAGAGGGGGGAAGATCCGACATCGTCACGCGAGAAATCCTGGCACGGATCAAGGAGTCTGCGACCATCTCGACTCTTGCAAGCCAAGCTTGTAGCGACAACGGTAGTTTGGATGAATGAATGAATGAATGAACGAATGAATGAACAGGTATGTGGAAGAAATGGATGAATTGCCGTGGGAGGGGGAGGGAGCATCTCCAATCTCCACACTATGGAGTTATCGACAATTGTTTATCGGTGGAGCCGGCCGCGGCTAAACCCAATCCGCTCAAACCTCCTCCCCCGCCCTCCGTTTCTTTCCCTCTGCCTCTGCTCTCTATCGGTCGGCCACGAAAAATTTCTGGGACGATAACAGATTGTCAGCTTCACCTCCCTCCCTCCCTCCCTCGACGCCCGACGTTGGTTCTCGAGTCAAGTCAAGTCAAGTCACAGTCTTACTCGATTGGACTTTCTCCAAACAACAAACTTCGTCAAGGTCTGCCGACCTCCGTCTGATGCCATTCCGCATATCCATCCTAGTCGCGCTTAACGCATGATTTCCTCCAAGCCCCTCCCACTCGCCGACGAGTGGACCGATCCGGATGCCTACGTTGAGGCCTTGATTTCCTTCGCTACCAACTCTGACATCTTTAGGCACCTCTGCGGCGGAGTGCATATCCTTGACTTCCTAACACGAGAGCCGGACCTTTATACCTCCCTGCTACCGGAAAACTGGCGGACCTTCTTCGATCAGCATGATGTCCAGGACATTCTAGACTTGCTCCTTCGCGACGATCTACAGCCCCTCTTCGACCAACATGCCGGAAAGGGCAGCGAACAGGGTGCGGACGCAAGAGGGTGGCGAGGCGGTGGTCTGCCCCCGCTGGATTTCCTGGAGTACATCCACCAGATCCGGCGCCTGAGTCTGGGACGGGACTTTACTCCGTCTCAGCCCGGGACCCCTGTGATCCCGAGGCATATTGCAGTAGGGATGAACGTCAAGAAGTACCACGAGGTGGCGCACTTCTCCAAATACGTGGATAAGCTGTGCACTACGGTCGACGAACAGCGGGGCGACGCGATCACCCACATCGTGGACTTTGGGTCAGGCCAGAGCTATCTGGGCCGCACCCTTGCCTCTGCGCCGTACCACCGGCATATCGTAGCCATCGAGCGGAAGCATCAGTTCATCAGTGGTGCGCAGGGCATGGATGTGCATGCTCGTCTGAAGGAGAAGAAAAAGGTCAACATGTACAACAAGAAGGCTGCCAAATGCAAGGTGTGCGAGGAACCGGAGTCGCTTGCAGCGGTGGAGTCGCGCCTCAATGCAGGGGAGTCCAACATTGCAGAGCAGAGGCCTCAGGAGGACCCAACGACAGCCACTGCCAACGGGGAGGAAGAGGACCTGGCCATGATCAACGTCTTCCGTGACGTCAGTCTTGCGCCCGGCGAGATCGGCTTCAAGCCTCATCGGAACGCGCCCAAGGCGGCCGTGGAAGAAGAGGATGATCCCAACAAGCCGAGAGGCACGATGGACTATATCGAACATGAGATCAAGGACGGTTATCTGGAGCCGATCATCAAAGACGTGATCGAGGCTCCTCTGCCTGCTGTCAAAACAAACGGCAATACCACGGACGATAGTGCGGTTGCGACCAATGGCACCAAGGCGGACCAGAAGCCGGTGGACGCCAAGGTCATGGTCATTTCCCTTCACTCTTGTGGCAACCTACTGCACCACGGTGTCCGCTCTTTGACCCTGAACCCGTCGGTCAAAGCCATTGCTATGATCGGCTGCTGCTACAACCTAGTTACAGAGAGGCTAGGCCCGGCCACCTACAAGCTTCCTATCCTCCGGTCCATGCATCCCCGCCTGACCCAGGACGCCGTCGCGTACGATCCCCATGGATTCCCCATGTCCAAGCGCTTCGAAGATTACGAACATGAGAGCGGAACAGGTGTCAAGCTGAACATTACAGCACGGTCTATGTCCCTGCAGGCTCCTTACAATTGGGGCCGGAAAGACAGCGAGGACTTTTTCACGAGACACTTCTACCGAAGTCTTCTCCAGCGTGTTCTGGTGGATCGCGGAGTCGTCGCAAAACCCAAGATCCCTGACGATCTCTACAGCGAATCAGATGCACCCGAGGATGCAGGGAACCCCTTGATCGTGGGCTCCCTGCGCAAGTCCGCTTTTGTCTCCTTCCCCGCCTATGCTACCGCTGCAGTGGCCAAGCTTTCCCGTGATGCACACTTTGGGGAAAAGGTGAAAGCTGGGATGGGTGACCTCACTGAAGAGGATTTGAACCGCTATGTGCAAGATTACTGGTACGCGAAGAAGAATCTCAGCGTGGTATGGAGCTTGATGGCTTTCAGTGCTGCCTTGGTCGAGGCCATCATCGTGGTGGATCGGTGGCAGTTTCTGCGAGAGCACGACTCCGTCAAGGACTGCTGGGTTGAACCTGTTTTCGACTACCACGAGAGTCCGCGCAACCTGGCCGTCATTGGAATCAAGAAGTGAAGGGCGACTTTCCTCATGTGACAGGTCTTTCCACCGAATGCCTGAGGCCTCCGAACCGAGCTGCAGGTGTCAAAAAGCAAGGAATTGGGCAGCAGCAGCCTCTCTGGTTCCGAGACATTCGCCATCCGGCAGATCGGGCGCTTTATTTCCCGCCTGAATCAGTGTTCTGGCAACCTGCGACTGGCCTGATCTAGGCCGCGATGTGCACACGCGACTCCTACGAAGTGAGACCATGCTGGGGGTACCTCCACGTAGATATGATGTGACCACGACCAATAGACGATAGACGATGGACAAAAGGGAAAAAGATTAACATAGAGGTTTTATGTGTAGATAGATAGCGCGACCTATTCACCGACAGCTAGTGTAGCAAGCGCTGCTGATCGGTCTAAATTTTTCGCCAATTTAACCGCTTCCCATGGTGCTTTCTCCTCGCTTGAGTGATATTAATGGTGATGCCTACTTTCCTAGGCAGTCACAATTTTTATTGAGCATACACGGGACAATTGTGTGGGGCTCATGGTAAAACAGTAGGCAATCCAGTAAATCCACTGATCAGGGTCCAAGGAAGCCTTGGGAAGGGCAAAGGCGAGGGAATTTAAATCCAAGACAGAAAGTCGAGACCCATAGTTTTTTTTGCACCCAAGGCTTGAAGGCACACTTACTCAGGGACTATCTTTTAGTGGGCGGCACCCGCGGGTTCCGAAACGGTTGTATGTCATCTCCTTCCCATTGCCAATTCCCCCATTACAGCAACCTGCAATCTGGCCCCCCATCCCAATCAGGCACGCTATCGACATTCCTCCTCCATTCATTCTCCAGAATATGGACCATCTGGAGGCCGAGGGCCCCGAAAGTGATGGGAAGGAGCCACTTGGCAGACGTGCAGTAAGTCAATCCGTCGATGCTGCGGCGTGCTACAAGGTCACATGCTTACTACTTACTTGCCTACCTGCAGTGTGACCAATGTCGTTTGCGCAAGGTACGAGACCAACTGTCTAGCTACAACTCTATGCAGCTGTGCTTGCCTGATATCCTTGCATCGATTCACTGACTTGCTTGTCTGGCTGTGTCTGTCTTCTCATCAGATACGCTGCGATAAGCGATCCCCGTGCTCCAACTGTCGCAGTTCACAGATTATCTGCCGATCGACCGGGGCAGGCCAGAAGCCTCAAGAGCCGCGGAAGCGTGTCTTGATCTCCAGTCAATAGTATGTTTGCGACCATCCCCGGGCTATGCTTTTCAACCTGATCTCATCTGTGCCCCACATCCAGTGAAAGGAAGATCGATCTGATCGAGGAGCGCCTGGGGAGCATTGAGGACCTGCTCCACGAACTTCGGTCGAATACGGCGACGGCCAGCAGTGTCCCGGAGCCTTACTTCCACTCCACCCCGATATCCAGCCGAATGAGCCCCTCTGTCCCCGGCCATGCGTCGAACGGTCCTGCCCCCGTGGAGGACCCCGAGGCGACTCCCGCCTTCGAGGGCAATTCGTCTCTCGCCGCGCACTCCGCTTACGCCAGCGAGTTCCTGGAGACGGCCGTCTCGCGCAGCGCGCTGCAGGTGTCGTCGCCGACGATCCAGGCGGCGCTCTCGACCCTGAAGCAGATGGTCAGCATGCAGGACCACCAGGCGCACTCGCCTGCCCGCGAGATCCGTTTCCCAAACCAGAAGAGCATCCTGGGGTCCGGGATCCGGGGCCTGGCCATGCCGCCCGTGCAGGTGGTCTTGTCGCTTCTCCGGAAGTTCAAAGGTACCAGTCCATCCCTGCAACGGTAGTATACACCCTCATCACTCATCTCCAGCGCTAGAGAAACCCAGCAGTCTGCAGGGGGTCTGTCCGTTCCTCACGTGCGAGCGGCTCATCGAGAAATGTCGCGAGGTCTATTTCGCCACCGATGAATTCTCGGACGCGGCGTTCATCATCGTCCACGGAGGTCTCTATTACGTGATCAGTGACTGCATCTCCTCCGTCGAGGACCCCAAAACGCGAGACGAGTACCAGCGGCATCTCCGGCTCTGCCAAGCCAATATTGAAACGGCACTGGCCAACCTGAGTATCTGTATGCCGGCCCGAGCGGAATATATCGAAGCTCTTGCGTTGGGGGTAAGGAAATCTCCAGATGGGGACTCTTTTGACAAACGGTTGCGGATACTAACGGCTGTCTATGTAGGCTCTCTATGCGATCGAGATGTCGAAGCCGTCGTTCGCTCTGACGCTGACCTCTACGGCAGCCCGACTATGTCAGACTTTAGGGTACCATCGAGCTTCATCAACAAATCCCGGCAGTGACACATTCATAGGGCGCCAGTTATTTTGGACGGTTTATGCCCTCGACAAAGCAATATCTCTACGCCTTGGTCGGGCGTCAACAATTCAAGACTACGATATCACCATGCCGGGGCCGAACGACGTCACTGGAGCAGAAGAGCCCTGGAATAGCATTTTTAAGATATGGATCAGATTCGCCACCATACAAGGCCAAGTGTACGAGCGATTATACAGCCCCGCGGCATTGTCGCAGTCGGAGAACGAGAGAGCCGAGCATGCCCGTCGGCTCGCTGCCCAAGTCATGGAGACTATTGAGGTACCGTTCGATGTATGTGTTTAGACATTTTGGCGGGACCAAGGCCGAAGGCTAATGTTCACCAGCACATCCTGAACACTCAGAAAATGTCCCACATGGATAAGATCTACTTGCGGTCGGACAAGATCGCCCGAAAATCGGTGATGACTCTAATATATCGGGCGATCCCCCCGTCGCGAGACTCTCACAGCACCTTCGTCAAAGAATGCATCACGACGGCTCGGGAGGCACTTGAACTATTGAAAGAGACCATGATCGAGGTCAAGGGAATGACGGAGAATTTCAAGGCGTCTTATCTCCACTGGTACGTTGGCTTCCAGCAAGGTGTTTTTGTGTACATGCTAATAGAGTTCCTGCAGGACGGTTCTCTACGCCCCCTTCGTGCCTTTTGTGGTGTTATTCTGCCACACCATAGCGACATCCTCGTGGGAGGATCTGACCCGCCTGGAGGAGTTTGTGCTTTGCGTGCAGCCGAACTGTTTTCTTTCCGAGGCCATCGCCAAGCTATACCGCCTCTGTCAGGTGCTCAGTAATGTCGCGAGGCTGTACATTGAGGCCAAAGCACAGGCCCAGGCACGAGAGGATCAGAACCTTGTGTCTGTTGGGCAGGAATTCGATACCTACCTAAGTGCGCTGGGTCTTGCACCTGCATCGAATCAAGAGGGCGGGGCCGTGTGGACGTCGGCGCCTTCCACGGCGGGAGCAGGGGCTGTATCCGGGGTCATGAGGTCTGGGAATGAAAGTCCCTACACTGAAGCTCCTATGCCACAGACTGATCAACTGGGGAATTGGTTTTCGGGCAATCAGCATATGATGGGGCTACTGGAAGAGGATCTCTCTGTTTTTGATCCTTCGTGGACAGGATGAACAATCTTATTGGTTTGCATGACAATGTTCGCCTGGGTAGTGGTCGGCTCGGTATTGAGTACTGGTATTTCACCAAACTCGCTAACACTTCGAGCGCGCGGTCGACTCACTCCATCTTCTGCCGGGTGCCCAGAGCCCAGTTCCCGCGTCGTCGGCAAACCTCAAATACACTTCCCTCCATCGATGATCATCTCCGCCCCATTGACAAAGCTCCCCTCGTCACTCGCCAGATACAAGCACATATTGGCGACGTCGTCCACCTCCGTCAGCCGGCCCAAGGGCACATTCCCGATGAACTTCTCCCGGTTCTCGGGCGTATCCTCCATGCCGGTGAACAAGGAGAACAACCCCGTTCCGGACAGCAACGGCGAGACGGTGTTGACCCGGATATTGTGCGGACCATACTCGGCCGCGAGACCTTTGGTTGCCTGGCGTCGTTTCATCAGCAGTATCAGCATGTCTTCAGAGTATACACCACTATCAATCGACACCACCCGACCCAAACAAACGGGCCTGTGACACTTACATTGGAAACCGCCCCCTTCGACGCATTATACCACACCAACCCCGGCCGCGGCCTCGTCGCCCCCGTCGACGAGATATTGATCATCGACCCGCCGCCCCCTTGCTCCAGCAGCCGCGTCACAAACACCTGACTCCCGAGAAAGATACTCTTCACGTTCACGGTGAACACCCGCTCCCACTCCGCCTCCGTGACCTCGACTGTTGGCTGCATTTACGGTCAAAGTCAGCCTGACTCTGTCTCCCCTCGATTTTAGCCCCAAACCCATCGAAGGGAGTACCTTATTCCGATACGTCGTCCCCGCATTATTGACCAAGATATCCACGCGCCCGAACTTCTCGACTGCCACCGCCACCACCCGCGCCCAGTCCGCGGCGGCCGTGACGTCGACCCGCTCAAAATGCAGCGCCGCCGCGTCCGTGGCCGCCAGCGCCGCCCCGGCGGCGTCGTTGATGTCCGCGATGATCACCTTGGCGCCTTCTTGGTGAAAGCGGCGCACGATGGCGGCGCCGAAGCCAGAGCTTCCTCCTTTGGGTTTAGTTAGTTAGGTTGAGGTTGGGGTTGATGATTGGGTGTTGGAGGGGGGCCGGGGGGCTGGGGTGCAGATGGAAGGGGGAAACGCACCGGTCACGATGGCGACTTTGCCAGATAGGCGGGGCATTTTCTTGTTGGGTCTGTTGAAGAATGGGTAAGGGAGGCGGGGGTTGTATTGCGGAGTTGGAGGATTGTTGGTCCTGGTCCTGGTTTTTGGTCGTGGTCGTGGTCCGGTCCGGTCTGAGGGAGGGGGTGTTGATAGATATGGGATACCTTATGGGCTGTAGAAACTGTGTGGGGGTTTTGATCGTATATCCTTTGTATTGTTTTCCTGGTTTGGAATGTGAAAATGGGTGTGGTGGGCGAAGTCAAGCGACGAGTGTCTTCTTAGAGGGAGAATGAGGGAGAGCGAAAACGGTGGGTAGATGCTGGGTAATTGTAGCTGGAGCGGAGAATGGACGATGGATGATCGGCAGCTTGTCAGCTCTAGCCATAGGCTACGTACTCCGTACTTACCCCGCCTTGCAGGTGGGACAGCACAGTGGACACGGGGTTCAGCCCGGGGGGAGGGGCGAAAGGGGGAGGTGGAGGTGGAGGTGGGGTAAGAGAGGGGGCTGATAGGTCCCTTGGTTTGGGTGACGTGACTCCTGGGGGGCACTCGCAGAATGAACCTGAATGCTCGGGGGCTCGGTATTCGGTTGTTGGTTGTGGATATTTGAAGATGTGGTGGAGACGCGATTGAGATGGGATGGCGGGGAGAGGTGGGGGGAGTTTGAAAGTAAGGAGGTAGGTAGGTACTATACTTACGATACATGATTTCGTATGCTATCGGAGAGATGGAAGGAGGACGCTCGATACCCGGTCGATGATCAATATGTCCAATTGGTAGAATTAACCAAGGATATGAATACAGTAGAATCGAATATATGCAGAGTTCCAAGGGTAACATCCAAGCAGGAGAATCATGAATACAGGGAAGGATATCAGGGAGTACAGTACATCCAAAAATCAACCCTCAGCGAACTTGATGGCCCGCTCTTTCCGCAGCGTCGGCTCGTCGTCCTCCCGCGCGCCCGCGCCACGGGTCGTCGCCGTCGCGTCCAGACACCGGATCATGCTCTCGCAGAGCCGGTGCAGCACCCACTCCGGCTCGGTCTGGTTGGCCAGCATGGGGCTCGTCTCGCCGATCCAGTCCCAGTTCAGCACGCCGTACTCGTCCTCGTGCAGCTCGACGCTCGACGTCGGGTCCGTCGCCCGGATCAGCCGCGTGAACTCGACCCATTCCTCGTACGTGTACTGCTTCGGCTCCCCGTTCAGGGCGTCCCGCGTCGTGCGCTGGATCGCGAGCGCCAGTTTTTGCGCTAGTTGGATGTTGGAGACTGGGCCTTCTTCGGCAGGGCCCGGTTCGTTCGCGAGCTGATCGACGGTTTTGGCCTCCGGCTTGCTGCCGTCGCCGCCGTCCTGAGGGCTGGTGCTCGGGGACAGGTGGTTGGACCTCTTGGCGCCGCTTTCCGGGTCCCCGTCTCCGTCGGCGGCGGCGGGCCCGATGGGGAAGCCCTCAGCGACGCGCTTGTGCTCTTCGCGGTGCTTGAGCGCCGTGTATAGCGGCGGGATCTTGCGGACGAACTTCGCGTAGCGGCCGGATTGGGGGAGCACAGTCCAGTCGGCCGCGACGTCGGTGGCGTGCTTGAAGCCCGCGACGATGGTGTCGCTCATCTCGGAGATGAGGGTGGTCATGGTGGGCACGGCGACGAGGGACCAGACGATGAAGAAGGGCTTGGCGGCGTTGGTCGACGGGGTGATGTCGCCGTACCCGATCGTCAGCAGCGAGCAGAAGCCGAAGTAGAGCGCTTGGAAGTACGTGATGTTCTCCATCTGCCAGAAGGCCACCGCGCCAATCGTCCAGACAATGCCGAACATGATCAAGCTCAGGACCAGGTTGTACCATCGGCGGAAGAAGAGCGTTTCCCGCTGGATGGCCCGCATCGCGTCGAAGCGGTCTTTCTCCTCCTTCATGACCACCTGCTTCGGGCGGCCCATCAGAGCGAACGCGTCGATCGTGCTCCGGACAGGTCGGCCGGAGTGCCGGGGTTTGTATTCGAGCTGGGAGGTCGCTCCGGGCTCGATGGACACGGAGCGGCTGACGGTTGCTCGGCGCTTGCGTTCCACGTGCTTGCGTATCACCTGTTTGTACTGGATGTCGTGCGCGAACTGCAGGACACTGTTGACCACGAGACCCAGGATGATCATGCCGATGACCGCGTACGGAAAGACGAGACCCCTTGCCACAGGCGTTGTGGGCGTGATGTCGCCATAGCCCAGCGTGAGGATGGTGACATCCGAGAAGTAGAGCGCATCTGCGAAGGAGATGCCGATCACATTGCTGAAGATCGCGGCCCCGATGATGAGCCAGACCACGAAGGCGGTCGTCTGCAAAATGAGCGTGCGCTGGCCGTCGGTCAATGCGAAATACTGCGGATAGTGCCCGAGAACATATCCGAGCATGTTAATCAGTAGTATCACGCCGAGAATGAAGTAGAGCACTGCGGCAATCACTGCACTCCAGTATGCCTGCGAGTACGTCTCATTGGGAGGTACGGGCGGAGAATAGACATGCATTGCGGCTGTGATACCGATCAAGATGGACGTTGAAAGGAACCAGAGGATGATCGATACGGGCAACGCAAGGATGTACCGCACCGTCCGGGTGAAGTTGAACAGTAGGAACAAGTTACCCACCAAGCCGCATGCCAGGGATGTCGCATTGAGAGCAATGCACCTGGTCAGGTTAGGGCTCAACTCAATGCTTTGACGCAAAGACTACGGGTGACTTACCATCGGGGGTCTCCCACGGACTTCTGGATGGGTTGCCCGAACGAATCGGTCTGGGTCAGAACCGTCACCTTCCATGATGAAACTAGCGCCACAATGGACATGACATTTGCCAGGGGAGCGGTTGTGGCAGCAATGAGCGGGATTGCCGTCGATGCTATCCACCAGTTTTGTGGTTCATCGTCGTCGGCAGGTCTCGGATGGAATGGGCTTCGAAGTTTCTCTGCAAGTGACCTCTTCTGTGGAGTGTGCGGGCTTGACGAGCTATCTGGCATGGTTGCTTTGTCTTGAGAGTAAGCGGGCCACAGCCGCGTTCTGGCTAGGAGTGACTCCAGGAGAGTCCTATGGAATCAAAAAAGAGGTTTCATGGCGATGCAATCAATGATAAATTCAAGGTATAATGAATGGCACTTCCTTCTCATGGTCATATACACGGATGCAGATCTCGAAGGCAGTGGATGGAGTCAGGACAGAGACAATTATAATCTCATTGGTTGTGGAGGAGTGGAAGTGAATTCCTTGTTTTGACTTGGCAACGCGGGATGGGATGACGCTGAGATGGAGCTCCCGTGACCCACCAACCCTGACAGCTTGCCCTAGAGCTCACCTTTTTTGGGACGGGACATGATGTCATTCCTAGCGTACTCTACTCATACAGGAATTGATGTTTGTATACTTTTGTGGTGGCTGTGGTATACAGCAAGAACTTCCATGATATTGTATCTATTCACAAATAAGAGGCTGAAAATAGTTGGTGCGCTGGTCCTGCGTCAGGTAAGATGTTTGGTTTGAGAAACTATAGAACTTCACATGATGAGTATCGTTGAAGACACTATGATGAGAAACGAGATCAGGTTCCATCGCTATAGATAAATCTGGAGAGAGATTCAGGTAATATTCTTGAAGAGCCAAAATGAGATATGAAGATAAAACTAACCAACTGTCACAAGCAAGAGCTACAAGTAATCACAATCTCGTGCAGTCTGACAAAGTCCCACACTCATGGAAGCTCCTCGGCAGAGCCGGCAGAGCCGGTAGAGCCACGGACATTGCCCCAGCCCATCCGCAGCATCTGGTTGACCATGGGCCAGTTGCGCGTGCGGATATGGTAGTTCAGAGGCTCATCCAGGATCAGGCGCTGCAAGCGGCCGGTCTGAATGATCCACGGGTCGAACCCCGCCGCCTGGAGCTGTGGCCGCGCCAGCAGCGCCATGGCAATCTGTCGGTCCCAGGCATACGTGAGGAAGTTATTGCGTTGAAGGTTGTCCAACGGGTACGCGAGCTCTGGGTACTGGTCGTCGTTGAGCCCCAGATTCAAGGGGAACCCGCAGTTGATCAGCGCCAGGGCGAGCTCCATGTGCCCAAGCATCAAGGCGACTTCGATCGCCGACCTGCCAGATGCTGTCACGATCACCGGGTCCAGTACCTCCGGCAAGGCGGCAACCACGGACGGGACCAGCCCGGGCATCAGATCACATTGGAGCAGCTGATGCGCGATGGCCTCATCGCTGGGGTAGGTGCCATTATGGTACGCTTGTCGAAGCAGGTGGATGTAGTTCGGCATCCCACACAGGTAGGGCAGGGCCCCGGGCCCGGCGTTTGTGGCGTAGCGTGCCCCTTCGGAGAGAAGCAGACTCACCATCGCATCCCGCGCAGGTGCCCGGATCCCATAGCCCAGAGGCTGCCCGAACTCTTCGTGGCTGAGCTCAGGGCACACCGCGAAGTCCAGCGCCGTGTTGCGATTGACCCGCGCAGTGGCGAAGATGTCGGCCCCGCGTTGCAGCAGCAGCCGGGCCACGGAGACCTGGGAGTAGAAGGCGGCGATGTGCAGCAGCGGTCGGGCACTGAGGTCGTAGAGGTTAGCATCAAGCCCTGCGTCGTCCAGACAGAACCGGACCGCGTCGTACCGGCCCTCGGCCACCAGGCGAGGGAGGGGCTGACTTACCGGGTTCTCATGCCATAGATACCGACTGCTCCGCCGGGTTCCATGTTGGTTGGCGACGATCATCGCGTCGTAGGTCACCTGCGGAGGAATGACCGTCTGCCGGCAGCGCGCGACAACCTCCTCCTGGACCAGGTCGCGGAATGCTTTGCAGGTGCGCCGGAGCGTGAGGAGCGTGTCTGTGTCTGCGTACAGGATGATCTGCACGGCGATCTCTGGGGGGAGCGCTGCCAGCCCGGTGTTGAGCTTCTTGAACCACCGCAGCAGCTTATTTCTGAGGCGTCGGCCGTGGTGTCGTTCGAAAAACTCGAGGATCTTCTGACGTTTTCCGGCCATCGTGGCTTGTGGGTCAGCGCTGGTGTGGTAGAGTGGTGTTGGGCTTTCATGACGGCGAGACGTAGACCCTTGGGGTCTTTTATATAGATGCACGTCTCCGTCTTTTCTTGAAGGGGTAGCCGACATGGAGGTACTTTTCGAGAAAGTTGCCGGTAACAGAGGCAGAGATGTAGTATACTGCTATCTCTTCATGTAAGTTGCTGCTTCGTTCGTCTCCGGTCTTTGATATCTCCGCCAGGCAAGGTGCAGAAAAGATTGATGCAGAAGCTCCTGACATTGGCTGATCCATGTTTCTTTCTCAGGTAGGCTTAGAGCAAACAACAAAGTATAAGGTCTGGAATTGAAGACTTTCAAAGTCATCGGGCTGACGGCGTAGATGGAAGGGGAAAGATCGATTACACTATGGGGTGATTCAGGCGGTCATCAGGTGACCTTGAAACTCCAGCGATTGTCTTATGCAACATATTAGGAACAAGAAGAAATTTCATAGAAGCACTACACACCTTACTACGCCATGGCAAATGACTTCACATTGCTATGGTCGGGGAATGCAGATTTATAGACAGAGATAGAATATTACAGTGATAGGTCAGGATATCTGATAAAGTGATACAGTAAAATTGTCTTTCTACAGCAGTTGTAGCCGTGACAAGGAGAAAACGCCAGACATCAAAACCACCCCTGCAGCTTCAAGGACCAGGGCCTGCCTTAAGTAGAGCTCGGGCCGCGACCCAGTTATTGGCTACCAGAGCCTCCCGGAGTGGGCTTCTTAGAATCAAGTCCGGATCCCTCCATGCCTCAAAGCCATCTTGCTGCAGCTCACGCCGCTCTAGCAGCAGCTCAGCAAGCGAAGCCCACTTCCGCCAGACGTTCCGGGGTAAGACTTCCGAGCCATAGAATCTAGGATTCGGTTCCAGTTTACCAAGAACAAACGCCAACTCAGGGTATTTTCTGTCCAAATAATAACTGAGCTTGAGGCGGAACCCCTTTCGTATCATGTACGCGGCGAATTTGTGGGATGCGCGTTTACAGTACACGTTTTGTCCAAGTGCATCCAGGATCAGTCCGAGCCCGGGCATCGACAGCACCTCCGGGATTTCTTGCACTATGACATCCAAAATGTTCACCGAGAGCTTCTGGATACAGTGTGAGATATGTTTGCACAGACCGTACCAGTTCGTAGTGCTGCCACTCTTGTACAGGCCATTTCGGATTGCCAGTCTGAGAAGGTCCGGCCCGCCCGGGCGCCGGACCAGATAGATGAAGCACTCGGCTGAGGAAAACACTGCACCCTTCTCGAGCAGAAGCTCAATGATCCTTTGATTCCCCCCCACGATGGCCGGCCAGGGATTGTCGATGTCGGTGACTCGTGAATGTATGATCCCTCTAAGGGCTGGATAATCGTCTGACAGATACCGCCTCTGTTCGGGGCTCAGCATGTCCAATGCCCGGTCCCCCGTCCACATTTCCTGATTGACGTCGATCTCCGGGTGGGAGAGAAAGATCTGGATCATTTGGAGGTTTCGGGCTCTCACAGCAATATGCCAGAATGAATTCCCAAAGAGATCGTAGTTTCTGTGGGGGTGGACGCCAGCATCCAGCACATTCTGCACGACTCGATAATGGCCGCGGATGATCGCCTGTGCAAAGGGCTGTGGTATATTTTCGGGTCTGTAATCGATGGACCAATTCCAGAAGCTTTTATGTGGCAAACCCCTCTTGTCAACCCAAATGAATCGCTCGTAATGCTTCTTGGAGGGAAGAGCCCACTTGAGGCATTGCTTTCTCAGCGGGTTTCTCAGAGTGTCGCTCAGGGCTGGAACAGATGACCTGAGATTCATTAGCTCCCAGAAGTTCAGCTGCTCAATGATCACATACAAGATATCCATGGGGAGGTCTTCCAGGTTAGAGACCCTAGCACGTTCCGGAGCATCACCGAAGGTATTACCGTCGTTGCTGGACATGGTCCCCGGTTTCGAGTTGCTGATCCCCTGTATGTTTGAGGTTGTGGCTTGACGATTATTATCGTGGTGTCATGAGGTTGAAACTCAAGTGAATCAGGGCATTATGTTGGTTCTTTTATATTGACTGAGCACCAACTCATACTAAAGATAATGCTCGCGGAAAGAGCATAACGTCTCATTTGTAAAGGACTTAAGAGATAACTTCCGTGCAAGGAAGATTTTCTTTGTTAGGCTTTCACAACTGTGGACTTGAAAGACCAATTTGTGTCTGGTGTCTCTGGTCGGATCAGAGGTGATACATGTCCACGCTTGGTTGTGTGGAGTAGGGCACATCTTGCGTTATTCACTAGCCTTCTGGTGTTTCTGTCGAGCTTCCGGTTGGGTGCCTGGGAGTCGTAGAGCCATCTGCTAAATGGTTCTTGTACATGTTTGACTGCGAGTAGCGTCTGACGATACCGGTGAGCTCTGATCAAGATTCCTCGTCGACAGTGGGTTGAACCAGCATATTTCCGATGTTTGGTGCCTCCCTGAAAAGTAGTTATGAAACAGCCGGGTGCTCTGGCTATCTGGAATCACGCATACTGTGGTGGCTTGTTGCGTATACAGTCGCATACAGCGAATGGACAAGCGGGAAGCAGCACAGACCCTCCTCCCGATACCCAAGCGCACCCACTACTACTGGTAGGCGTAGCCACCGCCTTCCCCACCGCCCGACCGTATCCAGCGTCATGCCGGGGATCCTGCCACCATCGCCCATATCAACAACCATCCACTCTAACTGCTATCTACCTACACCATACGCCCCTCTCACACCTCCGTCCTATTCATCCCTTCTATAAGATATACCCCAACATTCAAATTGACTCAACATGGATTACACAGACCCCTTCCTCCAAGTCCAAGCGTAAGTATTCCAACCAATCCCCTTAAACCCCGATAAGTGAATCCCCCCCCCCTCAAGCTAACCAAATCCTGGAAACCCATCAGGGACGTCCTCTCCACCCTGCAGAGCACGCGACCCCTCTTCTCCTCCTACCTGCGCATCCGCTCGCTCGCCAAATCCCCCAGCAACCCGGAGCTGCAACAAGCGCGCGCGGAGCTCGAAACCACCCTGACGGACCTCACCGCCGACCTGGACGATCTCGTCGAGAGCGTGCGCGCCATCGAGCAAGACCCGTACCGATTCGGCCTGGAGCTGGAGGAGGTCCAGCGTCGCCGGAGTCTGGTCACCGAGGTGGGCGCCGAGATTGAGAACATGCGCCAGGAGTTGCAGCGGGCGGTCACGACGGCGGACGCGGCGGCGAGCGGTGCGGGTGGTGGTGCTGGGTCTTCGCATCTGCCGAATCCGGCGGATTTCGATGACGATGACGCGGGTCTGTTGTCGCCGTCTGGGGAGCGGGGTGATGATTACTATGCGGCCATGGAGCAGCAGCGGCAGATGGAGCTGATGCATGAGCAGGATGAGCAGCTGGATGGGGTGTTTCGGACGGTGGGCAATCTCCGGCAGCAGGCGGATGATATGGGCCGGGAGCTGGAGGAGCAAGCGGTGATGATTGACGAGGTGGATACCTTGGCCGATCGGGTCGGGGGCAAACTACAGAGCGGGATGTCGCGCTTGAAACATATCATTCGGAAGAATGAAGGTAAGGAAGTTCAACTTTTGGGTGTTCTATCCAACCTATCGGAATACTAATCGTCGCCATTAGATACAATGTCCTCCTTCGCCATCGCGGTCTTGATATTCGTTCTAATCCTCCTCTTAATCCTGCTCCTTGTGCTTTAAAGTGGGGTGAAGTTTGTCCGGTCCACGGATTCAGACCTTGGTCTTCTTACGGGGGCGGGTCTGTTCTTCCTCGTCGTCCTCATCCTCGGACACGTCGATATCGCTATAGTCGACCTCTTCGATGGATTGATCCGTGACTAGACACCGTCAGTCAGTGTAAATGAGAAAACTGCAGTCGAGGCGACCACACTTACCATAGTACTTCATCGCATTGGGCCAGAGATCCTCAGCAACGGCGATGGCCAGCTCCTCGCCACCGGGGAAGATCTCAATGAACTCGAAGTCGTCCTCCAGATCATCATCCTCGTCCTCGTCCTCCTCGTTCTCCTCCACCTCCTCGCCCTTGCGCAACTTCTCAAACTTCTCCTCCTCTTCCTTGGTAGCAGCCTTGGACTGCTCCTCGGTGACATCACTGCCGCGGTAACCGAAGAAAGCGAAGAAGCTCAGGTCGGCATCCGGGGGCACGTCATCCTCCTCATCGTCACCCTGGGGCTCCTCGTCGGCCTCGACCTCGTCGCGCTTGCGCATCAGCGCCTCGAACTCCTGCAGCTCCTTGCGGTCCGTGTCAGCGTCCTTCTTCTTCTCCGCCTCGGCGAGGTCGCAGGCGGCATCCAGCAGGCCCTTGGTGGGGTCCTGGCCCTCCTTCCAATTGATGCGGACGGGCTCCGAGACGAGCCCGTCCCAGTGGCGCTTGTGGCCGTTGGCGGTGGTGATGACCTGCTTGCGCCAGTAGAAGTCCTTGACCAGCTTCTCGTTGGTGAAGTAGGGGTTCTCGTCGCCGGTGCGGAACTCGAAGGTCAGGCGGAAGCTGCGGGGCTCGCCGGCGCCCTTGTCGTCGACCTCGAAGCGCTCGACGGTCAGGTTCTTCAGCGTGGAGGCCAGAATCGTCGCGTCGGCCATGGTGATGTGCTCCTCGACCTCGGCGGGGGCGTTGAGCATCACGCGCGTCCAGAAGGTGTCGCGCAGGTCGGGGGAGGAGATGACCTCATTGCGCTTGGTGAAGAGGGGGCGGAGGAGGAGGGTCGAGTGGCGGACTGCAGCAATTGCCATCGAGTGTTAGTATTAGTCTATCACAGCCCCCAATAAAACCAAAAGAATGGCAGCAGCCAGCCCAATAGTCAATCGCGCAGCACCAGAATTACTTTAATGCCGTCGCTCTGCACAAGAGAAAAAAAAGAATGAAAGTAAAAGAACTCACGCTGCTCGACCTCAGCCTGAATGAACTCCTGCTCCACCAGCGCAATCTTCTTCTGCGTCTCCTTGCTGACCTCGGGCCGCTGGATGCGCTCCAGCAAGGACTGGTTCTGCTCTTCGGCGGACATTTTGCTTTTCGCTGTGTCGGGGAGATTATTGAATGTGTGTAAGGGTTTGTGTGTTTCGTCACTAGGATGATTACTGTTCAAACCAGTAAGTCCAATGCTCACGAAGAGAGAAAGAGTCAAGGTGAGTGAATTAGATGGGTTTGAGGAGAGAGAGAGAAAGAGAAAAAAAAAAAAAGTGAAACGGGCGCAAGAACTTGGATCCCACCCCCGGGTTTTTCAAGAGAGCTGACTTGACTTGACCTGACTAAGGTTGGTTGCTAGCTAGCTAACTAAGCTTACCTTAACCTAATTTAGTAACCACTAACCACGCCGGGAGTGTAGAGCCCCAGCTCCAGCTCCAGGCTCGCTCTCTCTCTCCCCCCTTCTTCTACACTAAATCTCAGTTTGGCACGGGAGGGTGCTTACTCGTAGGTAGGTACTGTACAGCATGGCCCTTTTCTCTCGGGCTTCTCTGTTTCCGGAACAAGAAATGACGGACAGAGGAATATTTTCAATAGAAGTAGAAATAACTATCCACGCTCAGTCAGAGCTACTACAATACTTCCAGGAATCCGAAAGAGTAGGATTAACGAGGGGGCCCGGGGTAACATCACAATCCTTTCAACCACAGTAAAAACTCTACCTAACAAACGGGGGACGGGCACGGGCACGGGCACGGGCAAGGGGTTACACTTACACTTACATGTACGGAGTACGGAATACAAAAGAAAGGTCACCGCACCGCAGTCAGATCCAAGTCCAGCAAGGTTCCCAATCCAACAACCCGCCTTCCCCCTATCCGCCATTCTTCCGCTGGAGCATCAGATTCACTTGTACTAATGGTGTAAGAACTATGTTCATCGAAGAAATGAGTAAAGCTACTCGACTCGTATGTACATAGCCCCCATCCATCTACGGATACTTACCTAGTATAGCAAAAACCGGGGCCCTTAATTACCATCCACCTGATTGGCGAGCATACGCAGAAAGTGGAAACCCTTAACCGCCATTCCCGCTGTTTCAGGTACTTTTTGGGGGGGGGGTCCCGGGGGTTAATTTACCTAGCTTGGATCTTTTTTTTTTTTTGAGTCTTAGTTTCATGGGTGGGGACCGTTGGAATTTTTTTGGGCGGGTTAAGGTAATCTCATAGAAGTTTTTATGCGGTGATACTTATGGATGACTACGCCGGAAATGTGTTTTGCATAGACTCCGGAGAGGTACGGTTGTTTTCCCTTCTTGATTGGACTACGCTGCGCTATGCTTGTAGTCGGTGCCTATTTATCCAAAAGATACTTCGAGATGGTCACTCGATTGTCTAGATCCTGGGAGAGATTGGACAGCAGTGACGTCATTTACTACAGTCCCTCTCTTGTGCATGCATAGCATATCTTCATGCTAAAGATTAGACATGACTAGCTATCCTTACGGTGCTATAGAGGTGACAGTAGAGTGGTCTCTTTCTTATTCACTCGCAGTGTGAGGTTGCATTTCTCGAGGTAATAGGAAAAGACCAGACCAAGTCCTGTCGACATAAGTACTCGAGTAGCCGAAGAATAACATCTGAAGCTATACTCTGTGGACAGCAGGGACTGGCTGTTATTGTGTGTCTTGCAAGGCCATCCCTTCAAATAGTTCTACTACCAACAGAAGCATAGATGATGATATCCAGACGCGTAAACATCTCATACAAAACTCTCCAGACCTCAAACCAGATCAAATCTGAGAATATCAAATTCATAAATCAGTAGCCGCCGATGCTCGCAGCATCCGAGGGGAATAAAATAACTAAAAGCACACCCCCCCCCCACAAAACAGCAACACCAATCCCATATCAAAAACACAGATGATATGAAGGTGCGAAAGCAGAAGAGAACAAGAAAGAAAAACTTTTGGCACGCGCGGATTGACCATGACCCTCAAAATCAATCCGACATGGCCAGTATCATGCCTGCATAGTCGTGACGTGCGTTTCAGCCAGAATATTATGATAAAAAAAAAACAAAACCAAAAAAAAAAACTTTTTCCCGAGGTGAGTTTAAAGCGGCGACGCCCTCAAATCTTCATTCCTCTTGTTTGTGGCTTTCCCATTAAGGTATAGATCTTCTGTCTTTCTCTCTTTTTTGAATGTCTCTTTCCCCAAGAGACATTGATAAGGAAAACCCCAGGCCAGTTCGCCGGTGATGCATGCATGCAGGGAAAAAATCGGTAAGTAGATAAGACAACAAGAAAATGCACGCCAACAGGCAGGATTGCAATGCGGTGAGTAGAGTGTTGTAAGTGTCTGTCGTGAGCGAGGGATTTAGGATTTCGAAAGAAAGTCCGACCGGTCAAAGCCCCGGAGGTTGGGTTCAGGCAGGCCACCCATCAACCGATGGGATGGATGTAATGTAACCTCCCCTTATCGCAAACCAATCGCGCCATCGGTCAGGTGACGGGCCAAGCCAGACTCACCGACACCGGCGCACGTGCCCGTCGGCTCAAACTGGACGGGACTAGGCATGATCTTCCCACCACTACAGCATCCAGTCCAATCCGTTGGCCTCTTCCTCCACCGGAAAGACCTCGCGCGCATATTCCTCCATATCGCGCCACCCCTGCCATAAATGCCGGGCCTCGTCGGTCACACGAAGCGAAATCACCCCTCCGGGACCCTGCATCATTCCCGCGCCTGCGCCTTTGCCATTGGCGGGCCCCAGTCCCTTGGGGGATCCGGCGGCCGGACGGGAGAACTCGGGCTGTGGGAAGTAAGGCGCGTCGCACTGTCCGAACACCACCTCAATCGCCTCCAGCTGTTCTCGATAACCCGGCGGAATGTTGACTTTCACTTCGACCTTGGGGACGCGCAAGTAGCGACAGGGGCGGCCGAGCGCGCGCTCGAAGGCAGCGCAAACTTGATTAGGAGAAAGAGTCTCGAATGTGAGCGCGATACTGTGGGTCGTTAGTACCGTCTCCCCATCACAAACAAACAGCAAGTCAAACCTACCGATGTCCGTTCCACTTCTTCGGCCCATCCTTGAAAATCTGCAGCAACGCGGGTCCCACATCATGTTCCGAGTCCAGCCAGGGCAGCGGAATGTCTGGGTCGAAGGGCGCATGCCACTCGAAACTTCCATCCGGCATGAGCTCCATCTGGAAGAGGGGATAGGGTAGACTCGTGAAATTGTTATTGTAGATACCGGCGTAGACAAAGGTCGAAGGGAGGCCCAATTGACGGATGTAGTTCTCGACGGTGAATTTGGGGGCCCAGAGCGGTACCGGAGGCCAGGGCCCATGTACCGAGTGATCGGGCATACTGCTGTAGACGTAGTGTTGGATGGTTCCGGCTCGTTTGGCGGCGTCGGCGAGGTCGCGGCCGATTGCGACTTCATCGCCTGATTGTGAGGTAGTGTTGATAAATGCAATGTTGGCGCCCTCGAATAGGGCGTCCATCAGGGGAGTGTTGCCCAGCAGCGGGCCTTGGAAAAGAGTGACATTCGGAAGCTCCTGCAGCTCCTCTGCGACGAAGCCCTTGAGAGAATGGATCTGAGCGCGCACATGGTGTCCGACGGCCGAGGCAACGCGTATTAAAGACGCAGCCTGGCGACCCGTCGCATTTACCACAGCGATGGTCTTCTTTTGTTGTGTCATGGGGAAGAGGGGGAGGGGGAGGAAGAGGAGGAGGGGAAGAGGAAAATGTGGAGGGCGGCGGAAAGAATAAAAAAGCCTCCGACAGGCTGCGGGAGGAAAGAAGAGGATGCGGGGTAAAGAGGAACACGAGGGAGGAAATCAATGGTAGAAGTAGAAGCTCAAAGGTAAGTGAAGTACTAACAGTACTTGATCGGTGAGCAGGCCAATGCAAGTTAAGTAAATTGTAGTTCCCTTCGATCCGAGACAAGGTCAGGTGGTATGCCACCAACACAGCGCACGTTGTGACTAGTGCAGCAAAGTAGCGGTGGTTCAAAGCAGGAGAAACGAACGGCGGCACGGTGGGGTAGAGGAGAAAATGTACGTGGAGATCACGGTTCACTATTGAACAACTTCTCCAAGGCGATGAGGAGGAGGGGGAATTATTTGTTATATAGCGCAGTGGGCTAGGAGTCCCTGTTGTCGCGACAAATTTGTCCAGTAATGCCGCAATTGAAGAAATCGATGATGCAAGCTTCCTTGAAGATAGCTGCTGTTGTTGCTGCTGCTGATGAAAGGAAGTTGCTTTCCTGGGATGATATCCGTCGGGCAGAATATGAGGAAATCGCCGCGTACTAAAAAGACTCCGCTGCCAGAGAAGTAAAGTAAAAAAAAGTATGGGAAAATAAAAAAAAATATAGAAAAATAAAGTGTTGGAGATGGCGCGGCGGGATTGTCGATAATCGATAATGCTCCAACTCCTCAGACCCTCCAAATCGGCGCAGCTGAGACTAAAAGTTACTATACACCACACACTACTCGCCCAGAGCAGGGAGTTTTGGTTAGTTAATGGGTAACAAAAATGCGCTGTTTTCTGGGCCGTTCAATGCACACAATACGAATGCCCCTTGACCGGGGCAAGGAAATGTGAATAATAAGAATCACCGGGTACTCCAAGAAGGGCCAGCAATGTGGATTGTGGACCACCCCCGGGAGCCTGGTCTGACGCCAGGTGAGGGAATTGATCTCACGTTGGTGGGCAGTGGGCAGTGGGCAGTGGGCAGTGGGCACCGATAACGCAAAGCCTCCCCTCCCCTCAAAAAAGTCAAGTAATAATAACCAGGTGAAAAATAAGGGGGAGAGAGAGAATAATACTAGGCCAAAAAAATAATAATGATAACAACGGCCGGCAAGGAAAAAAAATGAACACCAGACTTACAAGAATTTCCCGTGCTACCAAAGGATTGAAGCCGAAACTGATATCCACAATAGCACCGCACCGCAAAGAAAAAAAAAATCCAGTGTAGCCCGTGGATCAGGCCCAGTGCTTGGTTCCGAGATTCGCACCCACAACCAAGAGGAGACCCTAATCAGCCCTGCTGGCCAGAAACAGTCGATATATGCACGAGGAACGCCTCGAGAGACGCAGCAGGATCTTGCTAAATCCAGGAACAAGAAAGGATGTTATTTCCGGGTACCGCACCGCAGGCAAGGGCGGAGAATAGGGAGCAGGTAGTAGGCAGTAGGTATGAAGGTTTGATGCGGAACGATACTTTATGTATGCTTGGGAAGCTTCCCAGGTAAGTTGGTGACGCGGTGTACTACAGTTCACCAAGAGCAAAGAGGTGGTGGGAAGGCACGCGCTGTCGGCTGTATAAGTAACTGCGGTCTGTGTGTCTTTGCGACACGATGGGGACCTGAGGAGCCAACAAGCAAGAATTGCAGCATCCACCATGTACCCTAGGAGACACAGCCGACTGGTCTGGATTGGGATCGTCTGGGGTTTACCGCGCACTACACACAAGAATGGAGTCGCAGACTTGACTAGTACACGGCTCTTCAAATGCCTCAATTCGAGCTCTAAAAAGAAAAAAAAAAAAAAGGACTGTTGCAGAAATGACGGAGGCAGAGCTTCTACGCCTCGTCCCGTGATGGGAGTCTGATCCGATGTGGTTTCCGAGGTGGTTTATATCGAGTAATGACAATCAGTCATAAAATGCGCCATGTCAGGCGGCTTGAAAACTCTGGATGAAATATCCTTTTCCAGGGTAGAGGAGATTTAGTCATTCGTGCTCTCTGCTTTTCTGTATGGCTGGTCAGTAAATAAGATCTGTGATTGATGATTCTAGTTTCTTCGAGGCTTTCTGTCTGTCGGCCATCTCCATCTATGGTATATCACACCTTCCCTGGCCGGCCTCGTTCTAGTGTCTACGCCCTTTTTGAATTCCCGGGGATGGCCGTCACCGTCGGCAGATCAGGCAAGTCTACGAGATCGCCATTATCAACTTAGCCCTGACAGTAGTCGTAGTAGTTCAGGGCCTGGAAGGGCGAATTCGCCAGAAACATCCATCCACCAGCTCGCTCTGGCGTGGCCATTGACTGGGTTTACTTTTACGTAACTCGGGATGCAGTTGAAGCGTAGTCGGAAGGCGAACTTCGAGAGATTCGTCCCCCATGATGGCCGAATGATGGCATCATGAGAGCAGTGGAGGGAAGAAGCCAGGGATTACGGCATTCTCTGGAGAGGTGATGTTATGGTTGATGTTGTTGTTGTTGTTTCCCCCCCTCCTCCCGGACTGTACGCTGAAGAGGCAAGCATTTCCGAACTCGATTCTAGAGATCAGGTGGATTACCCCCTGTCGCGTATGACATAAGGGCCAGGAGGTGTACCTGTCGAGCATGAAGAGGAGTTAATCCAACAAAGGTATCAATGCGACGATCAAGGCTGATTGGAAAGCCATGAGGGGGAAGAATCAAAAATCCAGAATAAAATGCATTGAATTGACAAAAAAGTAAGAACAATTATAATGTCCCTCCCAAAGGCGATCCGATCCCGGCAGTGGCAGGCCAATGAGGGAGCGAGCCTTGGGCAGAGCGGGGAAGAAAAGCAGCACAACTTCTAACCACGCGGATCGCCCTTGGGCCACCAGCACCACCAAACCAATCCCAATTCCATCACCGCCTACGCTAACTGGCGATTAGCCTGAGAACTATATCGAAACTGTCAGGCAGACAGTAGCCGTTCATCCCTATCACGTCCAGAGACTGTGGGAGGACTCTGAAGAAACTTAGACAGGGCCGTCGATAATCAGAGCACTAGGTACTGTATCTACGGCGCATGTTTGCCAAAACCGAGTCGCAGCCGAGAAGCTGAGAGACATAGCGACTGCCCCGTCGGCCATCAACCTGCCCACGTTCTGCTCCAGTCTCCAGACCCGGGCCCATATCCATCGCCGATGGATTCCCCCTCACGCCGGCCAATCCGTGCGCCGCACATTCTCACGCGTCCCTGCCAACTTGCCAAGACTGGGTACGGTGCTCGGATGAAGCGGATCGTCACTTATCCTTGATCACGATCACCAGGAGTTGAAGATTTTTTCTAGCTGCTAAATGGATGGGTACTATAGTCGGAGTTTTCAGAGCTAGCGGACTCCGTTGGGGAGAAGTGAACAAAGGCGCCGGCTGTCGGTGTCAGTGTCGGTGTCCTCCGTATCATCATCCCTACGTGTACCCATGATTCCACGATCTGAAAACCGCGGGGGATTCCCCAGAATCAAACCCTCCGGACAATCCGCCCCGTTAGACCGAGGTGGCGGGGTCAGCTGTAGCGGTTTTTTCACCTTTTCTGGGGGAGGAAGAGAAAGAGACCACGATTGCTTATCTGATGACTCATACCAATGGAGAGTCTCTTGCACAATCCGTTGAACCCCAATGAAGCTAAAACAGCGAAAAAAAGCCATCGCGCACTGCAAGTGTAGTTAGACTTACCCCGTAAGTGGCATAATCGCGCAATAGGAAGCGGGGTATCGTGGACTGGCCGCTGGCCTACCGGGCAAGGGCAACTTTGCGATGTTCTAGTGTAGTAAATACAGGGCTGGGCTGGGGCTGGACTGGGAGACTAAATGCTGTCATGGTGCATTTGCTCCATCCAGTCCCATTCTCCGGTGAGAGGGTGCGTGCATGACCCCGGTTCTTTCAAAGCCCGTGCTAATTTTTTTTTGGTTGAGGTCTCCGCGGGCAATCTTGAGGTGGCTTTTCTTGAGTCTTGACTCTTGAGGTATTATCACGCCCGTGACCTGCCTAATCGGTCTACCTTAATGTCGGACTGTCCGCTCGGAACCGCGGACCGCTCCGAGGATAGTACGTTTTGTGTTCGTTGACTGACTGTCCGACTGACCGTCTGGTTGTCTTGTGAGTGTACGGGCGGTCGGTCCAGCCCGTTGCGAGTTGGGTCAGGATCTCGCCACCGGTCGTGACACATTTTGAGATCTAATCGATATGTTAGTTATCAGATGCGCTGAGAATGAGGTGATTTTTTTGCGGGGCTCGGTTAGGTCCAGCCGTTGTTAATTGCTTGGTGTCCTGGTCACTCGAGATCTTGCATCCCGTTCTGCTGCTTTCTTGCGATAGATGCAGGGGCTGCAGATGTGAATAAGCTTTCTCCTCTCTCCTTTCTCCTTACTCTCTTCCTTCTTTTTATAGCTTTGAGTCTCGGTTGATTGCTGTCGCTGCCGCCATGTGTTCAACTGGAGGGCCTGGCTGTTGGCAGATGTGTTTTTGGTTAGTCCGTGGGTCTCTATTTCCGTGGGGGCCGTCGCAAGTCAGGTATATGAGATGCGTATGGGTCAGGATAACTGGGATTGAAGAGAAGAACCATGCTGCGATGGACGCGACGCTCGAAACTGGTGGATGAGTGGACAAGGATTACGGACTTAATTCGTGTGGACTATGACGACCTGGTAGCAATGAAAGGGCCCAGAGGCATTCAGAAGATGATTCGGTGGAAGTAGCAACTCGAAAGATGCGAGTGATCGCTGAGAAACCCAGAGGATTCATCGAGGATGATCAAGAAGAAATTGTCTTCCGAGCAAGACAGGTAGGTACACCTCGGGTATGAAGGATAGATTGCTGGACTAGCCACTTCCATAAATGGGTCATTTGAGAACAATCATGGATCAATACCACACCGACTACTAAACACCCCGCCGCGCTAGTGGTCACAAAGGCTTCAATGGAGACTTGAATACTTGTCGTAAACCAAAAGATTCATTAAAAGTCAATCACAAATACAGCGCTCGTACATATGCCATAATCTATCCTCACAAAAGCACATCAAGCCCTAGAAAGTGAAAACAACCGTGCTGGTTCAAGCCCAGTTTAACAAACGCCATCTAGAAACGCCATCTAGAAACGCCAGCCCCCAAAGCACGTCTAATTGCTGTCCAAGACAACGACCTCAGCTTCCGCCTCTCCGACGCTCTCCACGCTGAGCACATCTCCGGCATTCACTCCTGTGATGAAAGCGCCATCGCCCTCTTCCAAAACCGCATTGTCGCGGAAGTCAAGTCTGATCTTCGCCTTGCCGCCCTTGGTCATGGGGAGGTGGATGTAGACATTGCGCTTCCTCTTCTGGGTGACCGCATCGCCAGCGCCAACCGTCCACTGGAATGTCTTCTCGGGCTCGATGATGCCGGCCCCCATCACGAAGTCCGCATGGATGGGGATCGTCTCGGGGATCTTCGGGACGGCCGCCTCCTCTTCTGCAGCGGTAGCATCGGGACCCGCCGCAAGCGGCGACAGGATATGCACGAACCCCTGACGCTTGGCCGCCTCATCGAACGTTCTCGTGTGGTAGTTTGGCTTGAGTCCATACTTCCATGGGAGAGCCCAGATTTGAAGGAAGTGGACTGGCTTGTTGGACTCGTTCTGTTCGGAATGCGCGATGCCTGTTTTGTCGTTCTGGTTTAGCTTGTCACAGGATAATCTGTGTGAAGGAGACCAATTACGTACCTGTACCACCGGTGGTGAACTGTACATCACCCCGCTTCATCCGGTAGAATTGCTTGCCCTGCGCACCTTCGGCGCCCTTCTTGATCATGCTGTCGCGGTGGGTCAGCTCGCCGCTGAGGATGTAGCTGAAGATCTCGGCGTCGCGGTGAGGGTGGGTCGGGAATCCATTGCGGGCCGCGACGCGGTCCTCATTGAGCACGCGCAAACTGCCGAATTGGTTGAACTTGTGGTCGTAGTAGTTGGCGAAGCTGAAGGTGTGGAAGGTCTTCAGCCAGCCGCCGTGTTCGGCGTAGCCGCGCTCGCTGGAGCGGCGGGCCACGATGGAGGCGTGAGCGAGAGGCTTGGACATTTCGATGGAAGTGTTGTTCGAGATTATAGCTTTGGTGATGAAGAAGATGAGAGGAGTGAGGAAGAACAGTGAGTAGAGAGATGTTGAGAAGGGATTGAGTGCGATATGCATTTTCAGAAACTATTCCCTCTGTCGCTGCGATCGATGATCGGCTTTATAGTTTTAGTGGCCTGCAGGTCCAAGCGGGGCGGAGATCCGTCAGTAAGCATGGGGTAAGACTGACTAAGGGCCCCTGGCAATCTTTCTCCTTCCCACAGCAATGCTGATGGAAGAATCACGGCCATTTGCGCACTGTGAATGGCTGGATGGATTTGATTTCACTGAGTAAGAAGATTCTAGCCTCTGAGGTGTCAAATCCTTCCTCGTATTATAGAGTGGTTGATAAGTTCTGGGTAATAACGGAGAATGCTGACGGACATCTTCTCTGATCCACGATTTGTCAATCATCCGTAAGATCTTTGATGGAACGGTAAGCTGTATGATTGGTTGGACAAATTTAGCCACTGTCATCATGGATGACATAATCAGCAACCGTTTTCAACCATCCCAATCGTTGACAACTTAGCTATAACTTCAGAATCTTGTCCCTTAATTTGATACCTGGTGTCTTGCTGAAGAGGTTTTTGGTTGGGTGATAATATGTACCTGGGCCTGTTTAAGTTGCCGCTTAGCCAACGAACCTATGTACCATGACCCTATCGACTTCATTGAAGCTCTGCTTAAAGACATGAGGTCGCATCTAACCTTGAGTGGTTATTACCTGGCAAATGTTGTTCTCAAATTACACTTCGAAGTAAAGGCTCGCCGAGAGTCTGCATCGCTCCTTCTATCTTGAATGGTTCATGTAATACCTAGTTCTTTGCTTCCAGCTAGGAGATCTCAGCTTTACAGCAGGCTGCATTATTACACTATAAAGATGCTCACTGCTTTTTTCCACCCAGCGATGAATACTTGATAAAGAAGTCAGAAATAAAATGCACTAAGGTGTCGGAGATTAATATTCGAGGGTAGTTCACAATGAGACGGGCTCATAGAGGCCTTACATGCATAACTGATTAAATGCTCACGTTCAGCTTTTTTGCGATGAAACTAATTACAGTTTATCTGTGAATACATACCCGGGTTAAGACAGCTGCTTACCCGCGTCAATCACAAGGACTGGGTTTGACTCTGGAAATGTGTCACTACATACCACACTTCTTTCAATACCTCTCTTGTCTTATATCTTACCTTCTTGCACCAGCTCTCTACTTTCTAGTCTCCTTGTTCGCAATCGACCAACTGCTTCAATTTTCAACGTATGTATGGTATGTTCTCATGGCAGGAGACAGAGTGATTCAGTCAACTGGCTATAAAGTACAAATGTCGACCTCAAAAGATCAACCAGAACCGCAGACTGCAAAGAAGGACACCTTTGCGGAGATGTTAGTGAGCCCATCCTTCACTCTGACACTTACTGACCTAGCCTCCGAGGTTGCTCCCACTTTACCACGGGCCTCAGGTCACTGTCCGGCTCGGGCCTACTGGTCCGACCTACATGTTGTCCAAAGCTCTTCTGTGCAAGAAGTCTACCTATTTCTTGAAGATGTTCGAGGGCAATTACGCCGAAGCGAGCACCTCCTACGTCACCCTCCAAGAAGATGCCACCACCTTTAAGCCAAGCTTTGAGCTCTTCATCGAATGGCTGTACCTTGGCAAGTTCACTCTGCCGGAGGAGGACCGCGCCAGCCATATCTCCTGCCTTTTGAATCTGGCCCGGTTCGCCGACATGAGTGTTATCGATGAGTTGACCGACCTCGTGGCTAGGAGCATCGAGCAGATTATCACGGAGGACCCGGATGTCAAGAAGAAGCGCGAGGCTCCAACCGTCTCGAAATACGGCACTTCCAACGTCAGGCATCTTACTACCAGGCATGTTAAAATGGTAGGAGGATTGCCGACGGGGAACGCCGTACGTCGAGTCTTGATTATCGCACTGGTGGAACCGTATCTGAGAGCCGAATGCTTTATACCTACGTTCGCGGACAGGATTGTGCAGTACCCGAATCTCGCATTCGATCTCCTTACTGAAGTCAGACAAACTATGCTTGCGGCTGTGCCGCGTGCCGGAAAGATCTGGATCAAGGACCCCCTTACGCAGATAGAGGTCTCTTTGAAATAACCCGACATGGTGATGGCACAGATGTGCCAGTTGTGACAAAAGAGATGGGTTCTGCCTCTACAAGCAGGAGTGCCGGCGGCAGAACCCGGTTGTATGTTGGCATGGAAAGATGAAAAAGCAAGGGTCCTCTATTGAAAAAGCATAAGTGGCTGTGGCCGCATAGTATAGCAGATCGCAAGATGTATATGCGAACACTTTCAGGAGGTCGGGGAGTGCGATGAAAGGGTGGAGTGGATCACCTGAGGTCAATCACGTCCAGCACGCCTTCAGGCATGACCTACAACGCTATGAAAGCCTAACTCGACCAAGGCGCGCTGGATCCTGGCAAAATGCATCGGGCATGTGCCGTGGTACTCGATCTGAAGTCAATGCATTCGCGCAAGTTTTCCCGACAGCCTTCGATGTTCGCAGTGCCTTTTTTTGTTCGATGTATGCTTCCAAATACTGAAGTTATTTCATTGGGTTTTTGAATATTATTGGGAGATAGTACGCTGCGCGTTACTATAGTACCCATAGCTCATTCAAATAACATGGTGGTGTCAACTTTTGCCTATCTTTCTCACTGCTGCTGCTCCCCTGTAATTCACTCATGTCTATGAACTTCGAATCCAACTTTGTTTACCGCCACCTGACCTTGTCTATATTGGTCCTTATCAGAGCAGGCGGACGAATGCATCCATCATAGTCAATTCGGAACGCATGGCTCCCCTAGACGTAGTTTACACGCCATCTGACGGGACACGCTACAAAAGCATCTGCAAAAGATATCTTAGGACTACGATCCTCCACGCGCAGCGTCAAGTACGTACGAAGCAATCAATCCACAAAGCTCCAACTCCAACTTCCACACCCAATGCCAGTCCCCAAGAAGCCCACAGCCGTCCACAGCATCTTCCCAACCCACAATCCACAGCACAATCCCATGATGACCCATCGAAATGACATCCAATAGTCTATGCATCCGCAACTCCAACCATCGACATCTGTCACTCCTCAACCCAAAGCACCAAACCATCAACAAAGTCCCATCTCGCCACTACGCCACCACAACCCCCCAAAACCAGCTATAAGCAAAAGACACAGAACCACAACGCAATCCCATCTCGCCAAGGTAAGGTCCCGCGCAAAAGCCCACCACAAACACCCTCCCGAATCCTCTCTCACTGACCACGCCCAAACTCTCCAATCCTTTTTATCCTCACCGACAACCAACTAGCATACTAAGAACGCCACGCCCCTCCAACACCACGTACCTCCCTCCCAAACAACAACAGCATGACCACAACCCCCACCCCCTCTCAAGAGACGGTGAAGCCCCTATCCCCCTCCTCATCCCATCAAGACATACCCGATAGGTGCAAGCCGACTCCCGAGTCATCCAGACTTTTGTGGCGTAAGGGCTAGAAGGGTCCGGAGCCTTCGGCGCGCCTGGGAGCTGGTCCCACGAACCCACCCAACTACCGTGCGGAACGGGTCACATGTACAGCAGAAAAAAAAAAAAACTAGCTTTGGCTTTAGCTTGCTGACAGGTCTACTAGTCAGTAAGAAACCTTTTTTCCTGGTGGCTGGGTGGTTGTTATTGTTATGCAGTACTAGTAGTTGGTGGGCCACTGTTGATTGTACTGTACGGTAGTCGTTATAAAAGCCGAGGGGTCTGCCACCGTGAGTCTGTGGGGTTTCCAAACAGGTTCGAATTCACATTGATTTTCTTCCCGGCCGGGGTTCCGGTCCGGTCCTTTCCTTGGGGTCTCCGACCTACCAAATAAGCTATATACAGGACTATGATCTCACTAACAACAGTTCTAGTTGTTAACTACGAACAGCAAGCGGAACAGACTTTTCTGAGAAAATTTTTTTTGATTTTTTTTTAAACAGGAAAGGTGGTCTATAAATCGACTATCATCACCATGGGTATCGATCGGTATCGTCTATGTACAGCTTTTTTTTTTTCTCTTTGGTTTCTTTTGGTTCGTCGTTTGAGGTGGATATCCCTTCCCCTTTGCTTGAGGAGGGGGGGATGTTGGGGTGGTCAGTCCAACTGGATTCTAGTCTTTTTGAGACTACCTCCAGACGGGTCCAGGTCATATGCAAAATGGCTGAATAACCAAATGGCGGGATGGGGCCAGCGGGAAAACGCTCGGATCAACGCTAATCATGAATCGGGAAATGGATGCTGGCATCATGGATGATGGGTGATGTAAACTCGGAAGCAGGAAGCAAAAGGTAAGGTAAGGTAAGGGTGATGACAGTTCATGCTTAGTGTGCGTGGCCGGTGGTGGTGGTGGTGGCGTCCTCCACACAACTTTGGCTACCACGGAAGGATTTGCGACCACGGGCGAACCAGTCGACGAGGATGATGAAGATGATGACGCCGTAGACGGCGGACACATAGTTCATGTCTGTGTGGTGAGGAGTTGGTTAGTGGGTTGATCGGTTGGTTGGTGGGTGGTGCAGTGGTAACTTACTTCCAGTGTTCACCGGCATGGTGGCAGGGAAGGAATACATGATCAGACAGAACAGGGTCCAGGCCAAGGTGATGTAGTTGGCGGCCAACCCCCACTTGCCCAACCAGAAGGGGCCGTGCTTGATGTTGTCGCGACCGCGGTACAGCATGCAGATCACAGGCACCGAGTACGAGATGTACAGCAGCGCGATACAGGCAGTGACCATGCTGTTGAACGCAGTGGAGGATCCGAGGTAGAGCAGACCCAACAGCGCGACAATCAGCGAGCTCGCAAAGTGCGACCACATGGGCACGTCCAGCTTCATGTTGACGGTCGACAGCCACTGGTGGCAGGGCACACCGCGATCGCGCGCGAACGCCCATGCCAGCCGCGACTGCCAGGTGTGGCAGGCAATGAGGCACCCCATACCCGTGACGATCAGCAGCGTCTCCAGCACAATGGCGCCCGCCTTGTTGCTCAACGCCTGGTAGTACAACTCCAAAATGGGGACACCCGTGGACGAGTTGAGCAGCGCGTCCAGGTCCTGGATGCTGAAGAACATGGCCACGCAGTAGAACCACGAGGTCACGAAACCGATGCCCACCGTGGCCATGATGGCGATCGGGATGTTGCGTTCCGGCTGCGGCACTTCCTCCGCCAGGTGCGTCGCCGAGTCCAGACACGCGAAGATCCAGTTCGGGTTGATCAAGCCGACAATGAACGCGATCCCGTCCGACTTCCACCCGGTCGAGTTGACGAAGTGGCCAAAGACGAACGAGGCGCTGGCGTGGGGTTTGGCGCACGCGGGTACGGTCACCAAAATCACGAAGAACGAGAGCAGCGAGATGTACAACGTGGCCTTGGCGACCGCAGGCAGGAATTTACCCCAGCAGTTGAACAGGTAACAGAAGAGGTTGATGAGCTCATACGCTACAACGGTGTGCCAAGGTTTGGGAACACTATGATCGAAGTCAGCACTACAAAGAGGCAACCGGTTGGGAGAGAGACAAGCATACAATGAGGGATGGCCCAGCTCCCACATGCCCACCACACCCGATCCCAGACTGAGGGCCACACTGGCACTCGCGAAGATGGCACCCGCATAGCCGAACCAGCCGGTCACGTAGGATGCGAAACGAGCGTACTTCTTAGGGGCCAGTTGATCGGCCCAGAAGTACTGCCCACCCGCGTTGGGCATAGCACTGGCCAATTCCGAAAGGGAAGATCCCACACAGCACGAGATGAAGGTGATCCACAACAGGCCGTAGATGATGATGACCGTGCCTCCGGAACTGATACCCGTAATCAAAGACGCAGATATACCGAACCACGAGTTGGACATGCAGAATGCGATTCCAACCAGAGAGAGCACCGAGAAATTACGCTGCAAGTCCTGGGTGTAGCCCATCTCGGCCAGCTTGAGAGCGTCCGCATCTTCGGACCCGGACGCAGACTCGCTGCTAGGCATCACCTGCCCGGTGCTGGGCTTCTTCTCTAAATCGAGGTTGCTCATTGTACCAGACACTTGAAGCAGTTTGGAGTCAGCGTAGAATATCAGGCACGTGGTGTTGTCGCAAAGGGCAATCGCTCGAGGGGCCGGTCAATGGTTGCCGTAGCCGCAAGATGATCGCGTGGGAATAAAGGTCCTAAAAGGAGGCTTTGATGAAGATTCACTTCTTCAGAACCACTGTTGCATGGGGCTTGTGAATTTCCGATAAGAACTCGGCCGAGGAAATTGCTGCGGGTGGCAAAGATTCCGTTCATTCAAAACAGTCGCAAATGGGGTGTCGAAACCGGAGGGGCGAGACCGTGGCAAGGGCTGAAATTGAATCTGTCGCAGACGGATTGATTGCTTGATGAAGGGACTCTGGCTGACGATACGGCGATACAACAAGGGAAGTTTTTACAGAACTCAATCTGCGTTTTGGGTTGCGTGGTTCTCTCAAGCTATCAACAACAAAAGCGGGATGGTGGTGGTGGTAGTAGTAGTGGTGGAGGAGAAGCAGAGAGCCAAGCCAGCGTGGAGTATCAATGCCCAGACCGTTGCTGCATAGGAAAGGGTAGTTGTAGGAAGAGGGATCCAGACGAGGTTTAAAAGTAGGGATAACGGAGAACGGGATCAAAGGGAGAAAAGGATAAGGATAAGAGGAGGGGTACAAGTAAGTAAAAAGAAGGGTCAAGGTATGAAGGCCGACGAAAGCCGTCAGGATAATGGGATACAGTTGAGTATTTAAGATCTTTGGGCGAGTTTATTTTTTTTCCCTGTTTTTTTACTCTATTTTTCCCTTTCTACGACCCCATCTTAGGTTGGCTCTTTCAATTTGCATGGTTGTTGCGAGTCTGACGGAGGCTCCACCAGTCTCAATCGATGGGATGGGATGGGCGAAAGAAGGTACCCCATGCTCTCGTGCCCTCCCTCCTTGTCTGCTTGTCTGCCAATTTCTACGGGGGAGAGACCTATCATGGACTCAATTAATCCGGTTGGGATTCTGCGGGTTCATCTCGACTCTATCCACTTTATTTCGCTTCTGGACGTTCTGTTTTCCCTCCCCTTTCGTCATAGGTGAGGGTCTGGATGGGTTACACGTAGGTTTGGTCGACCATAGAAAAGTTCCCTCAAGTAACCACACCAGGTCTGAAAGGTCTGAAAGGTACAGCCCACTACGTAGGGTGCTCGGAAGAACTTCTGTGGCGGTGATTCTTTCGATTCCGGTGGACAAGGGCTTGATTGCCTGGGAAG